ACGTAGGTACCACGCTTACCCGCGGGCAGGGTTTGGACTCGTTAATACCCACTTAGACAGGGAACAACCCCTAAGATTGCACCTATCTAGTTTCTCAAAACCCCGAGTTGTGAATTTGGAGGGCCCGTACGTGGGTACCACGCTTACCCGGGGGCTGGATTTGAGCTCATTAGCACCTGCTTAGACGGGGGACATTCCCCTAAAATTTCAGCTTTCTAGCATCTCAGAACCCCGAGTTATGAAGTTGCGCGGGAAAATTTTGAGGGGCCCGTACGCGGGTACCACGCTTACCCGGGGGCTGGGTTTGAGCCCACTAATACCCGCTCGAGTGGGGAAAATTACCCCAAGTTTTCAGCCTTCTAGCTTCTCAAAACCCCGAGTTATTAATTTATGCGGGAAAAATTTTGGGGGCCTGTACGCGGGTACCACGCTTAATCGGGGGCTGGATTTGAGCCCACTAATAGCCGTTTGGACGGGGAACATTACCCCAAGATTTCAGCCTTCCAGCTTCTAAGGTTGGGTTTGAGCCCATTAGCATTTGCCTGGACGGGGAACATTCCCCTAAAATTTGGCCCATTAGCATCTGCTTGGACGGGGAACATTACCCTAAAATTTTAGCTTTCTAGCACCTCAGAACTATTAGCACCTGCCTGGGCGGGGAACATTCCCCTAAAATTTCAGCCTTCTAGCTTCTCAGAACCCCCCGTTATGAATTTGCGCGGGAAAAATTTTGGGGGGCCCGTACGCGGGTACCACGCTTAACCGGGGGCTAGATTTGAGTCCAGTAATAGCCGCTTGGGCGGGGAACATTACCCCAAGACTTCAGCCTTCTAGCTTCTCAGATCACCGAGTTATGAACTTACCCGAAAAAAATTTTGGCGGGCTCGTACTGGGGTACCATGCTTGCCCGGGGTCTGAGTTTGAGCCCACTAATACCCGCTTGGGCGGGGAACATTACCGCAAGATTTCAGCCTTCTAGCTTTTCAGATCCTCGAGTTATGAACCGACCCCAGAAAAACTTTGGTGGGCCCGTACGCGGGTACCACGTGGGTTTTGGCGCCAATTTTATGGATGGGGGCCCGTACATCCATGTAGATTATGTCCCCAAAGTTTCAGCCCCGTAGCTTTTGCCGGTCTTGAGTTAAAAAATCGGCACAGAGGCCCAGCGCGCGCGCGCACGCACACACACACGCACAAGTCCCCAAAGTTTCAGCTCCGTAGCTTTTGCCGGTCTCGAGATGAAAAACCGATACAGAGGCCCAGCGCACACACAGACACATCGCAGCTTTTATAGGTCCGGAGATGAAAGTGCGTGACAGACGCACACACAGGCACACAGACACACGAACACACAGACAACCTCTCGTCAATATGCGTTTTTCGCATTGCATTGCTGCAAAAAACGCATAAAAATCACACAGACAACCTCTCGTCAATATGCGTTTTTCGCATTGCACTGCTGCAAAAAACGCATAAAAACGGAGGAAATATATAACAACAAAAAATCGAAACAGACAACCTCTCGTCAATATGCGTTTTTCGCATTGCATTGCTGCAAAAAACGCATAAAAACGGAACAAATATGAGTGCACTTGCTCTCCCTTATTTCAAAGTGATTTCGAAGCATATTTCGGGCCTGATAGCTCTTTCGCTGTTGTATGATCATCGTTTTTGCTTCAGTCGCTGCAGTCTAGTCTTACTGCCAGTGTCGCTGAGTAAAAGT